GATTCTGGCCTTAAAGTGAAGAGGGTCAAAGAAATTTCTCCACCTATCGCACTATGGTCGTAGGACGTATTAAAGGATTTAATGTTAATATTGAGGCATGACGGAGATACTGGGGAATAGGACACACTGTCCACTGCGGTCAAATTGACTGGAATTTTCCCTGCGTACGGGAGCCGAAACTAATTCGGATGGGACAATGGCCTACTCGTCATCTAACAGTATTTGTAAAGATCTGACTACCTCAGTTAATGATTACTAGTTACTTACTCTGCATGAAGCGGAAGTTAAAGGTCCATGTGACAGAAATATAATATAATGTTTTTGGCAGTCTGAGACTAATCACGTGCACGGCTCGGATTAATTTGGAACTGGTATCTAGTGTTTTCCATCAAATTTCTTGTAGTCGGTTTCACTTCTGCTTCGAGTGGTCACAGTTCATCAACTTGACAAGGTTGATGTTGTTTTTGGTAAGAATACGGAAGTTTTATATTTGTGGTTTTCTGCTCACAATTAATGAAAGACACGTACTGCTTTCCTCAAATGTTAATACTGATTGTGATTGTTTTGTTCAAAGCACCAAAATTATGCAAAAATTTCTCAAATTGTTGAGTTTGCGTCGAAAAGGGAGCGACGGCACTCTTTCTCTTTTGCAATCAGCGTTCTAGTCATGTTTGAGTCCTTCTTCTACAGTCCGATTCGAAAGTGCAAAGTGGAACTTTCAAAGCATAAAAATCAGTTTTCGATACCGGAAACTGCACTCGTGGAGTCAGAAGTCAATTCACATTCTGCATGAACTTGCTCTAGAGATAATTTATGGTGGCCAACTCAAGCAACAAAGAACATAGCGGTTGATGATTTGCAAGAAAACCTTTGCAAGTCCACATCTGTGAAGGACGGAGTTTGCTTAAAGATGGAGTTTAATGCTTTGAAATATTATTGTTAAACATAGGTTGTTGCATATATCGATTCTTTGGTCGTGCTCCCAAGAATTTAATATGGTATGAAACGGATAAATCCAACATTTGAGTTCCCAATAAAAAAAACTTCGAAATGTCCAGTGGCATTTTTCATTACCCGTTAATTCGTTGTTTACCATACCGATCTCAGAGTAGGATCGTTTGTACGACTTTTGTCTTGATGCGGACGAGACATTAGAAACCTGCACATCTCTTCCGGTCTCTATTTTTAAACATTTGTGGAATAAAACTACGTGAGATTTCGGCACATGTTGAGATACACTTAGGTCAGGCTCTAATTAAAAAACTACCCTTTGGATCATACAACTCATCGGTGATCGGAAAAAGCGAGAAAATAGGCGCCGATGGTTGTATGTCCAAAATGGCAGAGATCACTCAAATGTCCTGTCGCGCACTGTGTAAGTGAGGTTCCGCAGTTGTTTTCTATTGAAGGAGGAGACCTGATTGCACGATGCTACTCAGATGCATTCATTTCTCAACTGGTACCCACAATACACATCATTTTTTGTCCCTCAGTGATTTATTAGTGGATGTTGTTGTGATGTTGCATTTTTGATAGAAAAATCCTGCACCTTAGTCGTTTGCATCATCCAAAAACGGTGCAATTGCAATGTAAATTTATAATCATAGCGCAAACATAAACATTCTTTGATCAAACAGAACCTAATGAAATTCTTGATAAAGGGAAGAGTCTTGATTGCACGTGCTACATACATCATATGATTTCAATCAGTACCCACAATACACATCAATCTTTCTCCCTTCGATCATAGAGTAAAGTATAATGTATCTCTACATTCAGCTAAAAAATGACTTTTACTGCTTTATTGCTGTAATTTATATGTTGAAGCGAAAGCGATGGCAAGGCGCCGTAGAGTCGCTTCTTTTAAGTAAAAAGAAAATGATTTATTGTGTTTAGAAAACGGCGGAGATCATTGATGCTCGAGGGAAAAAACCAATCAGTGTGCAAGCGAGTTTCATCGAGAAGTTCAGGCTCTTTAATGGGCGGGCTTTACCTAGTAGGGACAGACCCATTTGGTAGCAGACGCATTTACTTTTCTTCAAGTTCGAAAGTTGCCTTTCTCCTTCTTTTCAGTAGAGATTGTCGAAGCTGCTGCCATCCTTGAATCTATAGAGCTTGATGAGTGACATAATCGAACAATAACAAATGAATAAAAATTTTTTGCAAAACTGTTAAGTATCAGATGAAGTTATTCTAGCCGACTTCAAATTAGTTGTACTCCTTCACATTGTTGATCTCTTCTGTTTTTTCTTGACCATCTCAATATGCAATATATCTATTTACGACCAGAAATGCCACAGCATTTCTTCAACACTCGAAGTGCAAAAAAATTTCCAATAGCTTTTTCTTTATGTAGGGTCAAAATTTCAAGTACAGTGGCGTACTCTTGCATCCCATGTAAAGCGCAGGTTTCGGAGAGAGGAGGAATCTAGAACAGTGACAGATCCGTATTTACGCATTATGGATGATCACTCAAATATCAAGTCTGGTCATAAAGATGGGAAAGTCCTTTCGTTACTCTCAATTATTCAGCTTACGAAGGGAGCGATTAATTTGAGTGCCACTTGAACTGAGATGTATGCGGAAGCGTTTATCAAATGCAAAACTACAAATTCAAATTCTAAATAATACAATTCTTCGAAAAGTTGCGGAGTTACAAGCAAAATGCGGAAATACTGTCTTGATAAAATTTTGAACCTTCGATCATTTGTGCGTTTAGGCAGCACGCTAATAATACGTCACTTGACCGTCCTTGTCCCAGCAGAATTGTGTAGACTGGCCTCCAGGCATTGGTACGGCGTTCGATCCACTAAAGACTGAGAGGTAAAAGAATAAAAAAATTGGCATCTTTTCAGATAATCGCCGGGGCAGGCGGCCATGCAATTTATGGGCAGGCGGGGACCGGGAGAATAGTTCGCTGATTTCTTGGGGTCCGCTTGCAGATATTTGGAAGAATGTTGGCGAAGTTTTAGATGAATGCTCGGAGAAATCGCGGTCTTTTCATGGATTAATTGCGGCGCAGTGGCCGCATTCTCGCGTACTTTCGCGGGAATATGCCAAATTGTTGAGGGCCGCACGGTTCTTTGTGAAGGACCGCGCAGCCCGTGGGTACTCTCCGTCGAGAGAAAGTATCCCAAACTCGGGTAATTGAACCATCGATGACACCTCTGCCACATAGAGTCTCACCTTCGCTCGGCGTACGCCCGAAACTGCGTAAAAAGAGTCCGAGCGCTTGCTGAAAATTTGGCCGGCGCTTGCTGAAAGGAATTACTTGACACTGCTTGCAGAAAAATCTGTACTACTGCCCGCTGGCAGAACATGCGACATCAAAGGAAGTACCGCTCGCTGAAGGGTTGACCACGCCCCAAAATTCTGCTGACCGCCTGCAAGAAAGCGCGAGTTTGCGGACCGCCTGCCCCCGGCGATTGTCTGAATTCAGTACCCGCGGGCATGCGCCGAACGCATTCTACTGCGTAGTCGAAGTGGCAATTAAATGCATGCGAGCGTCTAAAATGACTCGTGGGGCCAGCCGACTATCAAACTTGCTTTTATTCTCCCAGATTAATCGTACCGATTTAGTATCCTCGGAGGGTAAAGGCTTGTTTGGATCAGGGGCGAGATCGAATTTGGTCCGGCCTGGTCATAACGGCGCCTCATATCACTACGCCACTCGTCCCCCTAAAGTTGATTATAAGGGCGAAATACAACAGTCGTAGATATAATTAATTGTATGTGATTGAGCAAGTGGTAGGTTCGTAGGTTTTTTAGACGGAGGATCAGTCTTTATGCTGATCAAAAGCTTGAGTTATAAATTACAGTTACTTCAGATCATATTAATTAGATCAATCATATGACGGTAATAAATTGCACTGCTCAAAACTTATTGGTTCTGATTATAATTATACAGGACATAGCCTAAACTGCATCAGTTATATGCCTCGTGGTATCATTGTAATTGTGGTATCATTGAAAAGAAACTTCTACAATTAGTACTTGAAGCATAGTCAGCGTGCTTATTCAAATCAGTTCCTGCACTAGTGCCATCTATTCAGTAGTGGTAATACTAAAACATGGTAGTCACAAGGCTAGCTCGTTTTTCTTTGCAGTCGGTTCCTGAGAATCAAAGTTCGATGTTCACTGTGACTTCAAAGCTTGATTATCATAACTTATAATAACGGGCTAAAGGTTGTTTACGTTTTTTTGTGTGTGTGTGTGTGTGTGTGTGTGTCTGTCTGTCTGTCCGTTACGAAATTCGTAGGGAGAGTTCCAGCCAACCTCTTGCGCCCAAATTTTGCATAACACATCCCAGCAGCAGGAAAGTCCATTGTGCAAAAGCACAGGCGGATCCGATAAGTGGATCCCCTAGAAATTGCGCGCGAAACGGGTCCACTTAACTTCTGACCAGCAAAATTGGGTCCAAATATAAACTTTTTGCAAAGTCGTGGATATATTTGACAAGCTAATGTACAAGCCGTGAACTTTAGCCCAAATAATTCAACTAAAGTTGGTTACTTTATGAAAATGGTGCCAAAAAGTATCAGTGCGTAAATGTTCAATTTACCACGATTTTACGTGATCATTTGAGAAGATTTTTGCACAGAGATGCAGCCCACGATGATTATTGCCGTTATGGCGACTACCAAGCCATGAAAAGTCCACAAACCTATTCAAATTTGCATTTATTCTTCTGAGAAAAGTTTCATCCACGTAAAATTACCGATCTCGCACAAAAACCTCTAGGAATGAGTAGCTGTTTACAAATCATTCGTGATAGCCTGCATAACGCGGTGAGTTTCACTGTCATCATTATGCGGAAATTAGTAAGGCATACAGAATGTAAGGCCAGTGCGAGCCTCTGCGAAGCAGAGGTGACGCACTGGTTATAAAATAAAGCAGTAACTTTGGTCTTGCTCTGTTCGTAAATATTATGTGTTGTAGAGCTGAAATTCTATTCTAGCACAAATTATAAGTCAATCTTGGTCACAAATCGATGCCTTTTCCAGCAATTAAATCATGGTTGCGGTTGGTGCTCTTTTTGCTCTAGCCATCTATTCTTCCACTTCAGCAGCTCCCGCATTAGACAGCAATGGTGGTCAATGGATTCGAGAAAACCCCAATCAGGACAAGTTTTTGGTAAGCGCAATCCCTTAAAGTTAAATGCAAAAAATACGTACGCAGTAGCAGGCGGAATGGAAGTAAAAACTATGCGCAGATCCTTCATAGTGCAATGTTTGGATGGCATCATTTATCAAGATACAAATTGCCCCATTCAACCTAAAGTTTGAAGAAGAAGTGTGACGGTCACTACTGCGAAACTTGAGTAAATTGCTGCACTTTACGTTGGAGAAGCTGCATCGGTCAAGAAACCGATCACCGTCGTCGAAGCTCACGGTTATTGTTAGAACTCCTGCTGCTAATTTTACTTTAGATGTGATATACCTAGCTGATGAGACTGAATAAGATGAAAACCTCAATTATTGTGTAAAGTCATTTTGTCGGATGTGTAATCACGATGAATAGGATAATAGCCTTACGACTTCCATCTGAGGGTATAAATTCGCAGACTCGAAACTGCATCTATGCATTGCATCTGTCAATCTTCTTGAACTTTTGCTTGGCTGGGCAGAAAGCAAGTTCGGTGTCTTTTGGCTGCCAATTACAGTTTCATTTTCTCTACGAAAGCGGGTATTTGCTGATTTCCTGTTCTACCAAAAAGCACCAATTTACAGCAAAAAATACCAAAGAAGAGAGGCAAGTGGCGGTTTTGTAAAGTGCAAAAACCACACTAACTTACGAACCACTGGTATCCAAGAGCATCTTTGGATTTGCTTATCATTCTTTTTTCAAATTAGCGCCAACCAGAGTGGATTGTGCAAAAACAATGCGTTTTGCAAAGCTTCAATTTAACATGTTCACCTTGTCAGACACCCCATAACCTTCAAAGCAGTCAAGACCAGCTTGAGCGATACACCTTTTGCACATCACCTGAACTAGTACTACAAATCGCGGTTTGGTTTGAATCGTGGTTTGCCGAAGGCTCTACGTTCGGAAATTTCTTAATTCCTCATACCGAAAAGCTGAGTTTTCTTGTAGAGAGTTATCACGATGTTTTACCTGCAAGCCCACAAAAATAAGAGAAATACGACTACCTTTTTCAGAAAAAAATGAGCTATAGATACTGACTTGAGGGATCGATCTTAGTCCCGGAACTAACATAGTGGTCATCAGCGTGAAATTTTCTCATCTAAATATTGAAAAACTTGTTTGAATGAAAAACGCGGATGATCCGAAAATCCTCTAAAATCAATTAATGGCAGCTTGACTTTCATACCAGCCCGTATTGATGTGCATGTGCAGTCCAATTTTCAAAAAAAAATTGCATCATTCTCTAAAATCCAGCTAGTTTCTAGAATTCCTGTCTCGCAATTCGCTAGATATAGGGTACCTTCAAACGGGAGGGGGGGGGAAGGCGTCGCGCACATTCCGGCAACCATTTTTCTGTCTCCGTCTATCAAATGATTTTCTATATCATCCTGTCTCATAAGTCTTTTCATTTTTGAGTTCCGCTGTGATAATTGTAATATTTCTTATTCCGAATAGACATCAGGATACCAGTCGATAAAGCAAAGCAAGCTTTATAAGATGTTATGCTTTTGCACCAGGTTTCGATCACCTAAAGTTTGAAACCAAAATCTAAAAAGTTTCGTATGCCCAGAAAGTTGAAAATTTTTTATATCTTATTCAGAAAAGCCTTAGAACCTCTTACTCGCTCAAGCATGCACAATCCACGTCAGGCATTCATATGTGCTGTTGGCCTTTTTTCAGCTAGAAATCAAGAAACCGAAAATTTTCATGTCTTTACCAAAGTGATGCTGTGCTCTTTTTATACTGACAGTTGTATACTAGAGCCCTTAGAAGTATAACCGTAAATTTTCAGTTCTCTAAAGCTTTGGTTTTCGAGAAATGTTGAGTTGAGCGTGAAAAACCTGAGTGAGGAAAGCTAACTTACTATTGCTCAGAAACTAGAGCTTATAAAGAGCTGAAAATTTACAATTGTACTTCTGAGGACTCGTAGCATACAACTACCCTATTTTCAGGTGTATAAGCCGCACCCTTTTTGCTCTAAACGCGAGCAGACCCAGGCGTGCCGCCGTGTCTCGCGAAGCGGTCGCCTTATCGCATACTGCTCTCACTTAACGCGCTCCATGATGACAGTCAGTCTTTTAGCGTGTTCGCCTTTAGAGTGAAAAGGGTGCGGCTTATACACCTGAAAATAGGGTATTAGTATAAAAAGAGCACAGCATCACTTTGGTGAAGACATGGAAATTTTCGGTTTTTTCATTACTAGCTAAAAAAGACAGCAACAGCACATACTAGTTCTGATGTGGAGTGTATATGCGTGAGCGAGTGAGATCTGTAAGACTTTTCTGAATGAAGATAGAACAAATTTTCAATCTTCTGGGCATTTGAAACTTTTTAGATTTTGGTTTTAAACTTGGGTGGATCGAAGCTGGTGCAAAAGCATAAACGCCATCTTGTAGAGTTGCTTTGCTCTATCGAATGGTATCCTGATGTCTATTCAGAATGAGAAGTGTACGACTTACCGCAGCGAAAACTCAAAAATGAAAAGACTTATGAGACAATCTAATATACAGTGGCTGCCATATAGATCCATCCTGAAACGTAACTCATCTGCTTCTCAACGAATTGATCTGAAATGTGGTACAGCTGTGTGTTTAACAGGCTAGCATCAGTGACCAGAACAGATGCGATTTCGTCAGTTCAGGGAAAAATTGAAAATTTTGAAAAAAGCAGGCTTGAAGGCCGGCCAAAACTATAGATCCATCTACAGTTCTGTCCCCTAAAATAATTCTCGGATTCCAAAGTTTGTGCATAAACATGGTCAAAAGTCAAGACAGTCGCTTTAGTCCAGCTGTGTGAAACCTTTGTATAGGGGCCTGCAGGATCGCGAGAGTCGGACGCGCGTACGGCCTTTGCGCCGCGCACGCCTGATATCGCTGGGTCGTAGTCGATTAAGGCTAGATAGGTAAGTTTTTTTGTTTTTCTTTACATTTCACGCCTTCTTTTCTTTTCAGACGGTGAGCACATGTTGGTGCGGAGGAGTTTAAGATCTGAATTAAGGTGAGGTGCAGGATTATGCTCAATACGGACTCAATATTGCAGACCTTCCATGCCTGCTGGTTGAGATGTTGGATTTTCTGTCCTGGCTGCCCTGTTACAGCAAATTGTTCTATTTCTACCGTCTATTCTACCTTATCTTGCATATTGCTTGTGATGATGATGACAATGATTATGATTGTGATGACGCGCATGATGCAAGATGAGGTAGAACAGACGTTGCAAATAAAACGGAGTTTCGTAACCGGGCAGGCAGGACGAAAAATCGAACATAATCGGACAGCCAGAACAGAAAACTCAACATTCTTCAAAGCAGGGGTGAAAAGTCCACAATATTGGCCCGTATTGAGCATAATCCTGCACCTCACCTTAATCTAGGTCTTAAACTCCTCTGCACCAACATATGTTCGCCGCCTGAAAAGAAAAGAAGGCGAGAAATAAGAAGAAAAACAAGAAAATCTCACCTATCCAGCCTAAGTCGAGTAAGTACGACCCAGTGACATACGACGTGCGCGGCGCAATGGCCGTACGCACGTCCGACTCTCGCGATCCTGCAGGCCCCTATAAGAGACGCTTATCTGTTTTTTTTTCATTTGAGAATATTTTCATGCGTATTTTGTTCCCGAGAATGTGTTTTTACAGGTGTGATTCCGCAGTTTTTGACTGGTTTGGAAGCAATAGTGCTCCTTCGATCTTATAGATGCTTAGCGAAGTGAGCACTAGAAAAAATTTGAGTTTTTGTATATAAAGCGCATTCGACGTATACCTAACAGCAAGCCTGCGCTCAAATTTTTGTCTTAGAATTTGCTTGGTGCTATTTTTGTTGAGCTCATAATAATGTATTAGGTTGTCCGGAAATTAATGCAAGTTTTGAATTCCAACCGCAATAAGTCATACATTTCTCATTCTTAAATATGTTGCTAGGAATCTTTTGATAGAGCAAAGCAAGCTCTACAAGATGGCTATCTTGCTTAAGCAACAGCTCTGATCTACCACGAGTTTCGAGCCAAAAAAGATTCAACTGTCCGAAAAATTGAGAAAAATCATAACTCAGTTCATGAAATTCCTACAAAAATTCTAACTTGCTCACGTAAACGCAGTCGACATAAGGCATCTATATACGCCGTTGCCGTATTTTTCTCCCTGTTGAAAACCAAGAGAACGGAAATTTTCGTGCATTTACCAAAGCGATGTTCCGCCGTTTTCGCGTGAGTAGTTGTATACTACAAACCTGCAGAAGTACAAACATAAATTTTCAGCTGTCTACAAGCTTTGGTTCTCGAGAAATATAGAGTACAGCTTTTCCTAGTCATGTGGTCCAAGCTAAAATTCAAATTTCTCGAGAACTAAAGCTTGGAGAGAGCTGGAGATTTACGTTTGTAGTTCTAAAGGTTTGTAGTATACAACCACTTATGTCGGCACAGCACCATTTTAGCAAATGCACGAAAATTTCCGTTTTCTTGATTTCCAACAGAAAAAAAAATACGGCAACGACGTATATAGATGCCTTATGTGGATTGTGTTTACGTGAGCAAGTTAGAATGTTTGTACAATTTTTATGAAATTTTTTCGGGCAGTCAAATCGTTTTAGTTTTTGGCCTGAAACTCGTGGTATATCAGAGCTGTTGCTAAAGCATAGCCATCTTGTAGAGCTTGCTTTGTTCTATGGAATGGTATTTTGCAACCTACTTAGTAAAGGGAACTGTATGATTTATTGCGGTTGGGATTCAAAAACTGCATTAATTTCCGGACAACCTAATAAAAGCATTATTTGCATAAAAAGAATTTCATATACTAAACTCATGATCGTGCGCCAAGTCGCATTTTGCTTCGTTTTTAAGGCGTAAGTCTCGCGGTTCAATGATAATGTTAGGCAATCCCAAAATGGTTGCCAAGTGTTACCTTTCCCGATTTTTTGCCACTATTTAGCCGCTAAATGATAAATACACCCTGCATTGTATGTTGCCTTGTGACTCACATGAGCATTATGATCAGAACAAAAATAACTTCAAGGCTTGTTGCAAATCAGTTTTTCAGGATGAATACCTGAATTAGCCTGCATATTGCGGCCTGCAGAAATCTGCAAGCACTGCATACGGACTCTCATACGTACGAACAATGTCATTACTCCACTTCACGTTCATGAGAAACTGCAGAAAGAGTTTGAAGGCATAAATTTGAGCGCAGGCCTGTGGTTAGGTCTATGTCGGGTGTGCTTTGAAGATGAAAACTCGAATTTTTTTCTGTTGCTTACTTCGCAAGCACTGATGATCTAGATGGAACCCTATCGCTTCCAAACCAATCAAAAAACTGCGGAATCACCCATAAAAACACATTCTCGGTAACAAAATACACATACAAAGTACTTTTAAGTGAAAGAAGCAGATAAGCGTTTTTTATAAAGGTTAGACACAGCTAGACTTGAGGGACTGTTTTGATCTTTGACTATGTATGTGCACAAAAGAGTTAGAAAGCCGAAAATCACTTTATTGGACAGAAAGTTCAGGTGGATCTATAATTTTGGCCGGCTTTCAAGCCTGCTTTTTTGAAATTTTTGATTTTTTCCTGATCAATCAGAAGAAAAGGGGATCCGTTCTGGTTACTGATAGTCGCCTGTTGAGAACGCAGCTGTACCGAATTTTAGATAAATTCGCTGAGAAGCAGATGAGCTACGGCAGTTTTCAGGGTGGATCTAAAGTTTTGGCCAGCACTGTATAAAGCTGAATGTCTGTTTGTATATCTGTGTCTGTGCGTCTGTGTGTCCGTGCGCATGTTCCTAATAGAAATTTTTAACTCTGAACCGATCCGGACCAACTTGCCATACACTTCGGGGGAGGGGGGACGGGTGTCATAGGCTACATTTCGTCACCGACCAATATCGATTTTATCGTTTTTATCGATTTTTTGCGAAGTTTGAGCTACGGGGCTGGGAGTTGGCACGGGGGGGGGGGGTAATCGAGCGTGCTGATTACGAACACAGCGGGAATAAGGAATTGGCATGTAGAATTGGGCACAGGGGAAGGTTGTACAAGGATAGGGATAGGACCTTTACCATAGAGTTTTGTCAGGGCCGGGCGGAGCCGGGTAGGCCAGCTATTATATGATATAGATTTGAGAGTGGCTGCGCTGAGCTCATGGGTAGGCCTTTTGCACGCTTCTTTTATGCTCCTGTGGGCGCAAGACCGCAATCGAATCCATCACCACACTTTTATGAATGCTCTTTATCTATCGCAACATCACTGCGCAGTATTCCGATCCATATCACGCTGACGAGGCTTCGCCTAAATGTTTCCAAGCAAGTGTCCAGTCTTCGTGAAGGTTCACCGTGAACTCTCAAAGTTAAAGTTTCAGAATTTATACCTTTGCGAAATATTGTGCTGAATGTGTTTATTGTTTTTCTGCTTCATGTTCTCATCCACAGCCAGTGTCTTGCCATCATTACCTGAGCAATGGTGATAGATCATGGCGATACAGTTCTGCTGATGTAAAGTTGCTTGTAGAGCAACTACAACTACAACTACTTGATGAACCTAACTGAAATTCTAGTAAGATGAGCGAGGCTTCTAGCAAACCTGTGTTCAGGGAATTTCATGGGACGCTGCTGCCGGTGTCGTAAACAAAGGTCGAGTAGGGCGATTTTTAGTCCCTAAGCAGGTATGCGAGCAATGGCAAGATTTTCAATTTTTGAATTTCTTATTTTTCAAATCTTATGAGATTTTCAGGTGCTAGAAGCAAAAACCCGGAAGGGAAGTGACATTCAAAGCGATATGGTAGTTCTTTTCCAGGAATCATGGTGCAGCACTATGGTATGTTCGTGCACGGCCACGTAAGCAAGCCTTATTGTAAACTAAGCCTTCATCGAGATTGTGGTCGTTGGCCGAGCTAAGGAGTCAAACGATCTAGCCGCTTAGGCTGTGATCGAAAAGACCAAACTCTGAACTCTCAAAATTCTGGCTGTCAGTTTGGTTGCAAAATGACTCAGACTTTCGTGGTTAACTCGTGCGTATAGAAAATTTATGTAGCGACAGAATGACTGCGAGACTTGGTTGAATTTGTCACGAGAATTCGGACAAATTGGCATTCTGATCGGGAACTTGATTCCGAAACAGTTAATTCTCCCTCATTCATGCGGACCGGGAGAAAATCTGAGTTTTAGTGCGAACTCAGTGATGTTGGAATAATCAACTATGGCGCAACTTGCGTTAATCACTGTTCTCTTAATTTCAAACCAGTTCATTTCAAACCCATATCTTCGAGTTTACACGACATACCAGTATTCAAATGGATGTTTGTCGAACACGTTTTACAACATTTGTATCGTGCATCCCTCAGAATTACTCTAATATGAACAATCAACGTGGTTGTCTTTCGATTGTTTTCTAACACGTTATCCGGCAAATTTAAGGTACTCATTCGAAGTTGAAATGTTGAAATGATCAGCCACGTTGATGATATATGAAAATAATTTTAGGGGATGCACCATACACAATGCAAATCAAGTGGCTGCAGTTCTTCCAGTAGAGTGTAAACAAAATCAAATGTATGAGTAGCTATGAAATAAGTTCATCTCCTCTAGTCAACGTGGTGATTTGATTTCTCAAAAGAAAAATGTTCAATCATGATACTAAAAAAGGTAAAGCAGGTGTGCGATGAAATCTTGATCTTCAAAGTTCTTCTTCATCTTCGTCGACTTCTTTTTCATGGTACATACTGGATAGGTGTCTACAGCGGTTGTGCAAGTGCATTTTTCCTAAAATGAGGATTCGTTTAAAGGTGATGTGCGTAGAATAGATGTTTATGCTGACGATGACAACTGACGCGAAAGTCTTGCGTTATACATACGAAAATTCAATAAGTTTTCAAAAACTAAACCTCAATTTACAGTTAGGTATAGGCGTTTTCCATGCGCATAGCGGGCGTGGCCCTGCAGACATTTAAAACGTTGAAAAACTTGTTTAACCTCCACTTTAAAGCATTGGTTTTTGTAATCTCTTTATCTTTATCTTTATCTTTTATTCATACTCAACGGTTCTACATGTTAGTGATAAATACCGTGATGATTTTGTCTGAGGCTTCCGTTAATCAGTATGTGACCATATATGCATGTTCTGTTCGCCTCTATTCACGAGAATCCATAACTAGTTCTTGCCATTTACGAGCAGATTCAAAGACATTACAGTGATTTCGTATGTCGTCTTCCCATCTAGTTCTTGGTCTGCCATCACCAAAGCGTCTTCCGACAGATGGTGTCCAGCGCGTGAGAATTTTTGTCCATCTTTCTTCACCTTGTATCCTATAGATTTTCCAAGCGAACCGCCACTTCCTTCTCCGTGCCGCCGCTACCACATCCTTCAACTTCGTTGTAGAACGAATCCAAATTGAAGATTTGGAGTCCTTCAGTCGAAATCCAAGCATCAGCCTTTCCATTGCTCTTTGGCATCGGAGCAGTTTCAGCATTGACTTCCTAGTGGTTGCCCATGTTTCACAGCCATACAGAAGTGTTGGAAGGATGATTTTGTTAAAGTAGTGCCGTTTTAGGTAAACAGCTACGTTTCTGTTGGTGAGAAATCTTCGTATCTTGCCAAAAGCATTCCATGCCATCCCAATACGTCTAGAGATTTCTTTGTCGTGATCGCGCGAGCATTGCAGTAGCTGACCAAGATAGACAAACGAGTCTACGCGCTCGATGGTGTTGCCGTTTAGTGTAATTGTTGAAGCTCTTCAAATGCGATCTCTGTCCTCTCCCATCCATTTTGTTTTTGTTTCATTCATTTGAAGCCCTTGCTGACAAGCTTCAAGAATTTTCACGGCCATTGACTGTAATCGAGTTGGGCAACGACTTATAAGCACAACGTCATCCGCAAATGCAAGGTAGTGAAGTTGTTTTCCACAGATATCATAGCCATCTCCATCTTCCCAGTGGACAGAATCAATTGCGAATTGAAGGCACGTGATGAAGATAAGCGGCGATAGAGCATCCCCTTGGCGAACTCCTCTCTGTATTTTGAATGGAGCATTGGTTTCATCAGATTGAAGCGATGCCGTAGCTGCTTGATACAAGAGTCGTATCATTGTTATTGTGTCGGTATCAACTCCATAATGGGCAAGAGCTCTCCAGATTGAGTCGAACTCGACGGTATCGAACGCTTTCTGAAAGTCGAGAAAAAGGAATGCAATGGGTAGATGGTATTCATGCGTTTTCTCAATGAGTTGATTGATAGTTTGTAAATGGTCAGTGGTTGAGAAACGCTGTCGAAACCCAGCTTGCTCAATAGCCAGATATTTGCACACTTTTTCTTCGACTCGACAGGCCAGTGCTCTCGTCAAGACTTTGTAGATTGTGGGTAAGAGAGAAATCGGTCGATAGTTGTTAATATCATGGCGGTCACCGCTTTTGTGAAGCAGTATCAAGGAGGCATGGGCGAAGTTGGTAGGAATGTGATTGTCTTCGAACATTCGATTGATAATATTTGCAAGTTGGGGTGCAACAACTTCTACACCATACTTCGCAGCTTTAGAACGAATGCCATCAACTCCTGGAGCAGTGTTTCCTCTAATCTTTGAAGCTGCTTTCCTTAGTTCATCGGCGCTGATAGGATGAGTAATAGTTCGTTGGCTGTGGAATGGAAGCGTGGTCCCGCGGGCCGCGTAGAGTTCAGCGAAAAAGGTATTAGCAAGTGATTGAGCTTCTGTGGAAGTGCTGGTCATAGTCCCATCTGGCCTCCGCAATTGACATACGACTTCATGTTGACGGATAAGCTCGAGACGGCCGCGTTCAATACAATTGCGTTCGATGGCTCGTTTTAAGACGGAACAGTGATGCCGATAGAGATCGTCCTTTATTGACCATCGCGCAGTCTTGCAAACAGTTGCGTAATCAACATGAGCGTTTATAGCGTTCGTCTGCCTCAGTCCATACTTCAGTTCACGTCTTAGAAGAAGAAGAGAACGAGTTCGGTTAGAGATTCGCTCCAGCGGCTCCCAAGAAACTTTGGCAAAATTAGCAGCATCCCGGATAGATTTACACAGTTGTTGCCAAGAGTTAACCGGGTCAGTCGTAGTGAGTGTTGAGGGGAAAGTTTGGTAATCCGTTTATCACTAAGCAATGCCGCTTTCATTCTTATCTCACTATAGTCTGGAGGCAGTTGACGAGAACGGAGATGGAAGCGTGTCGTGCGAAGATTCACATCGGCTCGAATAAGACGGTGATCGCTCCCCGCGTTAAACCTATTCAGAACAGCAACATTAGTTATGACCCGTGGTTGGCGCGTCAATACATAGTCGATCTCTTCTAAAACACTTCCATTAGGAAAGCGCCAAGTCCACCGTCTCCTTTCAGGCTTTTGGAAAAAGGTATTCATTATATAAAACCTTTCCGATTCCGCAAATTCCACTAACGCTTGCCCTTTGCTGTTTCGTGATCCGTAGCATTTCTGACCCACAAACTCAGATCGCATTCTTTCTCCTCCTACACGTGCGTTGAAATCGCCAATCAAAATGTCGTGTGCATAACGCCCTTGTGATATCGCGCTGTGGAGCTCATCGAGAAATTCTTCGTATTCTTCCTCTTGCCAAGGGGCGTATGCTACAGTTACTCGTAACGATTTTCCGCGCAGTACGAAATGAATTTGTAGTAAACGGTCGGAGAGGAACTTTACGCCTGCGCAATGTCGATGTAATCGCTTATTCACAAGTGCCCCAACTCCCCTGCGAGTAACTTCTCCTCCCGTTCGCCCGCTGTTGTAAAAGTGTAATCCAGAAGACATGCGCTTTGCATCTAAGTTGCCGCTGCGGCGTGTTTCGCAAAGGCCAACAAAATCAAATTTTATCAGTTTTAATTCTTCTTCAAGCGCTGTCAGTCTTTCCTCCGATGACAACGAACGGATATTCAAAAAACATACTTGAATCTGCTCTCGGCGTCTCTGGATCCTGCTCTTCTTGACTTCAATGAATGCCATACGGTGGGCCAGCCACGGCCTCTTCCACCGGATGCTTCCCTCCTATCCTTCTCCGGATTCTTCTATTCTTCTTCTGAGATATATGCCAGAGCCACAGAACAGCCGACCGTTCAGGGGGAGCTGGGGGAGGGAAGTGTTTGTAATCTCTAGCTAACAAAAACTGCCATTCGCATACGTTGGCAAACGTCGGCAAAGCTCCGCCCGCTATACTGTGGAGGAATAGACGATATTTCAAATATAACGGAAGGTTTCCGCTTTATAGATATGTAAGCATAGTCAACATTGTATGAGTTCGCCATCGAGAACAAAGTTTTCGAAAATAACGCTTCAAATTCTGTGAAAGTTTGCTGGCGGAAGATCGCGGAGAGCTGTCAGCTAGCCCAAAAAAATCTGTGAAAATTTTTTACATAGCGAAAGTCTATATGTTACTTTGGCATGCTTCAATCTCGTATAGATGCAAAAACAAAGAATTTGTGGAGATTATAATTTCACAAGGTAAATACCCTCATCGCTTTCGCAGTAACACATTTAGAACCAGAGATTAGGCATAGTGCCTATTAAAGACAGAAGTTTTCTGAAGAAGTGTTTTCGCTTAAAAAAGCAGTAATGAGGGGTATTTTCTATAAAATGACATTTTTCACTTTTGTTTTCGTGTTATTGTATAAGATCGAAGCCTACGACAGTAAACGTATAAGCTTTTCCTGTAAAAGTGATTTTTGCTGATCTTTTGGGCCAGCTAGCAGCCCTCCACAACTTTCTAGCACCAAACTCAAAATCGCAAAAATTGTGAATGCCATTTCTGCAAACTTCATTCTTGGTGGTTGACTTATAGAATGTTAAAGGCAGTGTCCAAGCAAAAAGTCGATTTTGAGATTTTTTGCTTACTCGGGCCTATTCGCCATACTGACGCAGTGGAGAGCGCGAAAACGCCAAAAAAGGCCCTAACGCAGGAGGGAAATCGCAGGTGGGCGGGGCCCTTCACACCGTGACGTCACTTTCCCAGGCTTTATGAGCAATCTTCTCGGTTCCGATTTTATGTCAAGCGTTTCACAGTTGGCTGGTGGTGATGTTAGGGCAACTAGCGGAAGCGAGAAGATCGCTCCTGAAGCTGGGAGAGTGACGCCACTATGTGAACATCCCCGCCACCTGGAATTTCCCTCCTCCGTTAGAGCCTTTTTCGTTGTTTTCGCGCTCTCCAGTCGTAATCACCTAGAGCAATACTAAAAAGACCCAAATGATAGAAGAACGTCCTGCTCACAATCCTGTGTAACCTGACTATTTAAAGAACTAGCTAGTAGAAAACATAATTATCCTAGGATGGCAACACCTTAGCGGACATTTGTGAGTCAATGTGCCCGTTGTACTACGGTGGTGCTGAAGTAGTAAGCCTTTTGATGAGTCTACTTTCATAAATTCCTGCAGCTTTTGTCACAGAGGATTATTTTCAGAAATATCGGGTCAACAACATCGTCAACCTCCATGGTGCAAACATCGTGAACGCCGTAAAATTAGAAGATGTGAAAGCGAGCATATTCGATTAGGCCGTAGATGCAAGTGAATCTGTATCTAGTGCGTGGATTGTACGGTGACATGCGATTTCCAACACCTTACAGCTACATACTGTATATAAATCTTCTCCTGCCGCAGTTTACACAATATCTATTTCTTTCGGCTAAGAGCAAGCACTTGTACTGAAAATGACCGAATCTTTCGCTGGCGCGCGGAATACTGCGTAACTCGGCAAAATCGAAAGTGCAAATTATTGCAACTGCAGTTATTTATGAATTGGACAACCGTAGATTAGTTCCACACCACATGATGTGTCTTTGACCTTTAAAAAGAAATCGAGAGCCATGTCAAATGCACAACCTGTCTTGTGAGTAGTAACCTACTCATTCAGTGGGTTCATTTACCCTTTCACTAGATGCTTTTGCGCTCAAGTACCATTTTCGCTGCCTGCACCGACGGCACAAAGCCTCATCCCGTGGGTTCCCCCGACCAATCGTGGGTGCTACAGCCTATAAGGTTAAATATATAGTTTTGCTTAAAGGCAGTGTCCGGGCAAGATGGGGGTTTTGGGATTTCAGTGCCATGCGAGAGTGGCCCCCTCAGACACAACATCGCGTAGGTGGACGTCATAACGCTCGACTTGAAGCAAGAAAAGCGACCGGAAAATGAGGAAACTTACGCCTTGGGGCGGGGTCCTCCGAGTTGTCCAAATTCCTGCTATGCGGCAGAATACGCATGCTGCCACAGTTAAAATGTATAATCCCGCAGCGACTCTGCATCTCTGCCTTGATGGGGACCGTCAAGTTTCAAAATGTGCGGCTTTGGAAAACCTAAGTTTTCGCCGTTTTCGCGCCTTTTAACGTAGATTTTCGGATTCAACGTTGCGGATAATCCCCGGAAGTGGATTTTCTAGAAATCGAGTTTTTGCCCGGACACTGCATTTAAGGTGATCTGTTCCAAAGCTACCTGTTGTGCTGCGTCTAAGGTAAGTACGTGTCCCTGTGGCTCTGATGATTCTTTAAATAACTCCTCGAGTTTTTGTTAATGACATCTGGGAGTTGAATGGATACTGGATATAGATACTTATGACTCTATTTTTCCAAGCTCCAAAGAAGGTGATTGCCAAAATGTCGATGTCAGCCAATGACGTTAATATACCAATCTTGTCAAACTCAAAACCGTATCGAGAAGTTTTCAAAACAATGCCGACATTCAAAGAAGGGCGAAGTTTTACCTCTTAAGACGTTTGTGAGATGAATTTATTTGCTGAAAATCGTACAAATCCACATTTAAGTAGCACCACACTTGGTTCCAGCCACTACATCTTCATTACGAAGTCCAAATAATAAGCTTTCTCTGATTCAAAAATCTTTATCCTACATCTATGATGATCTAGTGGTTTTTTATCATCCTTTCATGCCACTGTTAACACTGGGAGAATACAACTTTTATTGAATATGTAAGTAAGCCGCCGTCTCCGGCACACGATAAGGGTTGTTTCATACTGCCGCACTGACCTCCTAACGAGGTAAACCGCACTAACCGCAGCAGCCGCAGCATGTTCACGTAAAAAATGGCAAAAGAGTGAAACTAGAACTTATAATTTTCCTAAGCATTCAATCACGGTGTTTCGGTCGTAATCGAGGTCGTTCGTTCTCTTTACATGTACACGACCGCTGCAGTCATCCACCGTCGCTTTGGTAGAGGGTGGCACTATTGAACTACCTTAAAGGCAGCCCGGCAATAAGATGGGTGTCGGATTTTTGTGGCGATGTTAAAGTGGACTGTTAAAGTAGACCCCTTACCGAAGCGATGACTGAAGTTCGAAGCGGAAAAAAGGGGTCTACGAAGCCTGAAATTTGCTCTAAAAGCGACCGGATCTTACGGTAGGCCGGGCGCCGCCCACATAGCGATTTCGATCTGCAAGGTCAGGGCATGCATAGCGCAAACCGTCATGATCCCTCAACGACTCGGCGTCTCTACCTTGCATGGACCTCGTACTCGTCCGAGCCTACCGTAAGATCCGGCCCATTTGGGAACGATTTGTAAACTTCGTAGACCCCCTTTCGCACTGCAAACTTCTGTCGTCGCTTATTTAGGGGGTCTACTATTACATTACTACCAGAGCCAGTACCCCCCCCCCTGGTGGGACGCTTCCTTTAAAAGATGAGTGAGTATGATCTTACCCAGCCGCGGACTGGCCATTACGGCGCACCCTTTGTGCCTTTGCGATAGACATACGATAAATAGCAAAGGGGTTACAGGTGGTGCATCGGGTCTGTCTTTATCACAACACTACGACGACGTTACGAGGCGAAGGCGAGAAGTTGTAGATATATTATTATTATCCCTCACGCTGCAAAACATGTAGTTCGATCTGGGGCTCGTGCGTTTCACCATCGTATCAAGTGATGATGGATTATTGACCAGTCATCAGCTAGACCATTTGCAATTCCTTCGACTCTCCCACTAACTACAAACAGACCATTTCCATCGCTCCTTAACCTCTCTGTTAGGAATTCTTTCATTTTTTTCAAAGAGGAGATTTTTGCTGCGTAACATTATCTAACTCGTCTTCTCCAGAATCGCTTAGACTCAAATTCGTTAAACCAAAATCATCCTCAACAGGTCTCCCTCCTTCTTGACCTTATTAGATTTGAGCTCGCAAAATTCTTTGTGTCCAATATATTATTTTGGCCTTGTAATATCGACCGTTCCACCGGCACTTAACAACGCCTCCCTCTCCGTCGATTCTTGTGGAATGGAAGATATTGGAGCCACTTCTTTAGTGCGACTGAAAATGTAACGAGAGCTGACGACATCACGTAACTTATGCTTCGGTGCATGCAGTTATGCTTTCGGAGTTTGGTAGAAGTTGGTACATGTTATTGGAAAAGAAAAAATGAACTTCTTACAGGGAATGATGATTATTCTTATTCCTCGTACTGCTTAAACTAAAAGAGCTCGAACTGCGTCTGTCCGTTTTAGACCATTGTCTTCCGTAAGCGTTCTCCCGTACGATGCACCAAAATTCGTGGTGGTTCAGCGGTTTTTTGAGGAAGTTCTGAGCCCTTGCTAACACTGAAGGTAATGTAGCCTTTATTGAACAGGTAAGTAAGCCGGCATCTCCGGCACACGATAGGAAATGAGTGAATATGATTTCGGAAAGCAGGAAGCGGCCCAATATGCACAAAGAGTCTCCCATATTGTGGATTTTTGTGCCAAGTTTACGGCAAACATACGATAATTAACAAAGTGGGTGAAAATTGAGTTTTTGGTGGTGTCTTTATGGGGGCGGTGCAGGAGGAACCAAAGGCCTGCCGCCTGTTACCGCAGGAGACAATTAGAAGCGCTAGCGCTGTGGAAAAGATTTTTGCAACGATCCAGAAAACTTGGCAAGGATATCAATTGCAAACAAACCCTTATAACTGTGCTTAGAAATAACTTTGAAAGTACAAAACACAGATTTGGTGTACTAGTATTTCTTATGCCGCACAGGTTGGTATGGTGGAACTTTATTGACCTAACGTTTCGAACAACTCGTCTTCGTCGGAGGTCTTCGGTCCACCAAAGAGTCAGTAGTCCGCACTAGATCAGTGTGATGTCCGTCACACTGATCTAGTGCGGACCATTGACTCTTTGGTGGACCGAAGACCTCCGACGAAGACGAGTTGTTCGAAACTTTGTCCGTCACATTGATCTAGTGCGGACTACTGACTCTTTGGTGGACCGAAGACCTCCGACGAAGGCGAGTTGTTCGAAACGTTAGGTCAATAAAGTTCCACCTGTGCGGCATACGAAATACTAGTACGTCAACTTACGTCAAAGATGCCCAGGTTCCAAGACGAGAACACATGGAAACAGAGATTTGGATTCAGCATGCAAGTCGCATTCGAGCGTCAGTGAAATAAAATTTGATATTGTACTAAAAGAAAATATTAGTGACTTTTTAACACGTTTCGGACCGGTGCTGCACATGGTGCAGCACGCTGCTTTGAGGGATCTTTCTGGCGTTTGCAGGTGGTTTCCTTTTTGTCTAAAGTTGTTAAATTAAAGGTCTAACCTCCTACTTTTCAAATGACTCTGTAGAGTTGTGCCGCCGATATTTGTTTAGGAGATATGAGCATAAATCGAACGACAGTTGCAACGAAGTGCGGCGACGCGAACGACGCGTGCGACCTTTCAACTTTCCTTTGCTTCCATATCAAAGAGAAAAACCGTAGTTTCAATACTGATGTGTGCCGTGTACAACATAGATACTTTTGAATACTGTTAGAATCTGAGTTCTTGTTCCTATCTTTCAAGAAAGCACAAAAGTCCCTCTCAAGCGACAAAATGCAAACACTTCGAATTCACTCAGAACTTTGGATATGGAGCTTATCTGACATGCTGATTACAAATGTGGCCCACAGGCTGCGAAATAAGGTCCCTTTGTAGGCTAACGGCTGAAAGTACACTCTTTTTTGCCGCGCGCGATTTCGCGGTCCGAAACGTGTTAATATACTCACTCGTCATCATGAATACTTAAGGTTTCAATTTTTGATAAAACTAGGGATTTTCCCAAAGTTTATTTTTTTCACAGATTGGGAGCAGCTTTTTCGAAAAATCAACCAAACTGCAATCAAATCATAGTAAAACTTAGCACTAAAGGCTTCTGTTAAAATGTAACATGCGCTTTGGGGCCGGGCGGGTGTCATAGGCTACTTTTGATCATCAATCGATTTCTATTTTATCAATTTTTATCTTTTTTTTCGCAGAGTTCACCTACGGGGCTGGGAGTTGGTACAGGGGGGGGGGTATTCGAGTATGCTGATTACGAATACAATATTAGTTTCTAGAACTATCCATTACATTTATCGATTTTATCAATTTTTTGCAAAGTTTGAGCTACGGGCCTGAGATTGGCACGGGAGGGGGGGGGGATAATCTAGCATGCCGATTACGAATACTATATTAGGTTTTGGAATTACCCGCTACTTTTATCGATTTTATCGCTTTTTTTTGCAAAGTTTGAGCTACGGGGTTGGGAGTTGGCAAAGGGGGGGGGGGGGTAATCTATTTTTTTATTTTTATTTTATTTTGTTTTACTATACACTCGATAGGTGTGCCAGAAATAAAAAAAGAACGAGAAGTG